ATGCAGAGGACTTGCCATCTTCATGTGGTCATTTATAACTGTAGAGCTCACTTTTGTCTTGCGGCATCATCGGGCAGACCTGTGCACCAGAAGTGGAGTCGTTACAGCTCGGGAATACATTCCCTTTCATTTTCTGCCGGATGATTCATGTCGTTTTTAACCAAGTCAAAGAAACTCTCTTCATCTAAGCAAGCCCAAAAAAAAGGCAGCGAAGACCATCTAAGTGCCTATGAATTTCTGTGAAGGTAGCGTCCCACATTCAAGCCTGGCTGGTGTGGTCCCAAACGCTGACGGCACTTGAGCTGCCACACGGGAACAGCATGGAAACAGGCATGAGGCCAGTCGAGGCTGGCTGGAAAGCAAAAGACTTGATTTTAGGGAAGTGGGGTGTAGTAGCTGGCATTTGTTTTTGTTCTGGACTGCCAAGCCATCACAATAGGCCTTTTATGCTTCTCCTCCCTCTTTCTCTCCATCTCTTTTGGACTCGGTCATTTGCCCAAGAAAGTTTCATTAAAACTGTTTTATTTAAAAAGAGTAGCTTTTTTGCCATCATCCCTTGACAAAAATTAGTTTGGTGAAAAATGTTAATTGGCAAGTTCTTTCCCTTTGCTTATCATTTCTGCTCAGATTGGTGGCTGAGCCATGGTCAGGGCTGACCAGAGGAGACCTGGCTGCAGGAAAAAGTGGATTTACATCCTTAACTGTTGCTCTATTAACAATAAGCATTTGCTGGATGACTTATTGCATAATTGAGGGTTGGGTGGTAGCCATGGGAAGAATTTTGTCTAAAACAGGAGAAAAAGATGATTGCTCAGTGATGGGTTGAGGAACAGCACTTGAATGTCCTTGCAGCCTTCCAAGAAGTGATGGCACTCGTGACCAACACTGCTTGCAGAGCAGTGAAGGTGTGCCAGCAGTGCTACTGCAGGTGCTTCTCTTTGATAAGTGTCATGTTATACCACTGAAATCCCAAGCACTGATGCCTGGGACTCCTCTGGGCTAAATTCAGCTTCCAATTGCATCTGTACAAACACCTCTGAAAATTTATGCCCATTCTGTCACAAAGCACCAGTTCTTCCTAACCATGCTCTTCCAAGGAAGCTGCTTGTAGTGGGATTTTTCCTGTTTCCATGCAAGCTGCAGGCAGCATCAAACACATTTGAGGGTTCAGTCACTCCTTGGTAAAGTAGGTGCTCTGTGGTGGGGACCAGCATGGTCACAGATGTATTTTAGCCTGCCTTTCAGCACTGTGAAATTCATTAAACTATTGAACAAGGCAGTTTTACGCCTCTAATGTATAATGAGATGATTTGTGGAGAGATCTAAAAAGCCTCAAAGTATAAAACGAGTCATTATTGGATTAACTAACCTATGATCATTTTGAATGAATGTTTCCATAAAGGATATGTGAAGTGAGCTTAGGGTTCAGTCTGTTCTCCATGCTGGGAAATAGAAAAGAAGAAGTTAAAGATGGAAAATGCTACTTCAGTATTCATGGAGACGACGAGGGACGAGCCCAGAGCACCCCTTTGCCCTCAACAGACATCTCCATCCTGAATCCTAAGGCAGACATTTCTTTAGCAGTTTGGCAGGAGGAGGCACACACCCAGCTGCTGACGACTGCACCTGCACAGCCAGGGGTGCTGGGACCACATGTTCCACTTCCAAAATGAGAATTTCCCCTTCCACCCAGGAGATGGCACTAAGGCACTCACACAACAAGCATCACTTCAGCTTTACCCCAAACCTGTTTTCCCTGAAGTTGTGTACTGGGGAGAAACCCTGCAAACTTTGCATTCACTGGGTTGTGCTCCTTGTGATGGGACCAACTGAGTGTCCTAAGAGGAAACACATTTCTGACTCTCTGTGGACGCCACCACTTGTACTTGAAGTCCTCCTCATGGCTCCAGTGAGTTTCCCACCAGAGAAATGGTGGATCACAGCAGCCTCCATCCAGGAATGTTCCTCTGTTTTGGACACAGGGTAGCACCAAACAATTTGGAAAAACATACCTCGGGTCAACCATAGCGACAATGAGGCAACAAAGTCCTGGAAAGCATCTCCTAATCTCCACCAGCCACATTCTGACTCATGCCCAACTTGTTTCTCTCTGTTGTTTTGGGGTTTTCCTCTTGGACTTTGTTATGAGTGTAAAACCTGGTGCATCCCTTTTTGAATCCCGTTGAGCTCATGGCTGGTGTCATCTGGTGCTGTCATCTGCGAGCCCAGGTTGGGCAGAAAAATGAACTGCATTGAGATAATGCCAGTCTTAGCTAGAGCTTCTCACCTCTTTTTGACCCCAGTGCTCTTGGATGTTAACCCTGTGTCACTCACGTGAAGAGAATCCATCCACAGAAGCACCAGGGAAATAGAGAAGCTGATTTTCTGTCACCTGGGTATATTTGCATACAGTCTGAATGTCCCCTGTTACAAGGCAGAATTGACTCCCTGGGGCAGTGTGAGAGCCCTTTTGTGCGTTTGAGCTGCCATGGGACCATCACCACTTCCATTAGCAGGGAGTTGGGAGGGGCAAAAAAAGCATTAACAGCAATCACTGCCATGACAGACAGACCCTGTGAGGGCTGAAGAAACAAATGTTTGGAAGAAAATAAATGTAATCCTGGGAAGAGGAATGTCAGGAGACGGGGATACAACAGTCTGGATACTGGGCAGGGACTGAAACGTGCGAGTGCAGGTTTCCAAAGCCACATCTCTAAGCCTGGTCTTCAAAAGTGGGAAGTGCCTAAACAAGCATTGCCGCCAGAAAACCCAGGAAGAACATTTATCTTCAACATCAGCAGCTTCCTTCCTTCTCCCTGGCACACAATTAAGGACCACTTTAGCAAACCCAGCATCCATCTGCCTGATTGATTATCCTCATTAGCGCTCCTGACGGAGTGTAGCACAACCTCATATTCTGATCCAGACATTTGTTTCCACCGTGGTTGCCCATTTTGATCAGCATTTAGCAACGTGCTTTTTCCTGGTGGTTTTACCTTGTGTGTGTGCTCTGAGCTGTCGTCTAGACACAGCCCCAGCCAGCGTAACAAAAAGATACAGGGGAGCAGCGCTGAAATCAGCTTGAGGAGCCTGCCTGCAGCATGGGGATGCAGGATAATGATGCTTTTTTCATAAGAGAAAACTATCAGTAAGGCCATGGGATTATTTCCAAGTGGTGCAAAAGTACATCTTCCTGTTGAGAACATCTCTAGTCTCATGTCTCATTGCCCAAAGAACTCAAACTGTCTCCTCAGGGGTCTCTGATGCAAGCAAGTATTTTCCCCTATATTTTAGGTTAAAGGTAGTTTCATTGTTTCTGCCCTCCAAGATTGGCACTAGTCCACTATCCTTAGCTCCAGTGGCAATACTCAATGTCACCCTAAGGACCAATGGGCTGTGGTCAGCAATGCCCCAGGCCAGAGCAGCTTTGCAGAAATACTGGACCCCTCTACTTCCCTGTAGCCTCTGGTTGGAGCTTGGCCTTGCCAGATGTCATTTTGCTAAATCCCCCAGGGCTTCTCTTCCCATGGGGAAACACAGCCATGCACATGACTTTCCCAAGGTTCTACAGCAAGTGAATTGGTAAAATTTGCCATAGGTAAGTGATGATGGGCTAAAACACCTGTGGAGTGTAAGGAAGCAGGAGAGGTGATTCCCTTGGGGCAGCAACCAGCATACTGCTGTGTCTGCAAAGTCTCTGTCACCAGCAGGTCTAGGGATGCTTGACAATACTGTAAAATAAGTTATTTGCTGTCTTTAACATTGATATTTTAGCTCATGCTTATCCCTCAATACTGCAAGGATTAAAAGGAATGCCTTTCAGGAGTGAGGGAGAGGTTTCTCTGCACCTACTCCAGGACAATTCTGGCATCAATTTAGAAGACTCAGAGTCAGGTCGCTAAAACCACAGTAAAAAGGCTATCAGCCCTTTCCGAGTCTGGGTATCGGCGGCTCTCCATTGCCATCTTCAGGCTGAGAGCAGCCTTGCTCCTTCCAAAAATCCTAGCAATCTCCCAAATTGACATGGCAAACTCAATTCTGTCTTGCCGAACATTAGCTGAAATTGATGGCCAAACCCTGCAACAAATACAAACGAGGGGAAGGAGTTCTGCAAGGCTGGTACTCAGCCACCCTGGATAACATGGATGTTTTCCACCCCCTGAGTGCACAAGGGTTTAGAGAGTAAATTAACACAAGCAATGCTGTTTATACTTCTTGCTGAGAGACAAAGTTTACCATCAAGTTTTCTTTAAAGTACACAAATTGAAACTGCCTAGATGGATTTAGCTCTGTAGCCCACACTGTTCCCCCAAAAAAGTTTTTCTGACGATGATAAAAGCTGAGGTTCTTGGGAGATTTTAATGATAATTTGCACTTAAAGAGGTCTTTGCCATACGTTTCACATCTGACAGACATGGTTTGGAAGAGAGGAGGTTTCCAGGCTTTCAGGGTCTTGGATGAGCAATATTACAGGCAGCTTGGAGGGCCAAAGAGCTGTAATCACAGAACATAGGTGACACATACTAAAAGAAACCAGAAAACCATGGAATAATGTAGTTGTCCTGGTCCTGTAGAGCCAGCTTAGATGAGGCTGCTCAGACCCAGTCCTATCACCCAGTGAACATCTTCACGCCATTCCCCTCCCTCTTCTGTATCCAGACAGGGTTTGACTACCCTCATGGTGAACATTATTCTCCCACTAATTAGATATGATTGGATAATCGCTTTCGAGGAGCCCAGAAAATTGTAGAATCATAGAATGGTTTGGGTGGGAACAGGCCTTTGGGGGTCATCTAGTCCAGCCCTCCTGCAATGAGCAACGACAAACGCTGCTACTTGGAAGAACATTCCAGCGGTGAAGCCCTTGCCATTTTATCTCAGGTGTCATGGTGTTTTGTACCAGGTCTTGCGACTGAATATACTTTTTCCCAGTGCCTCAGTCCCTGAAATCCCAAATCTCAGGGCCAAAAAGGGTAATGCTGGTACTTACCATGGCCACCTTAGCACCACTCAGAGCATCGCGGTCTCCAGCGCATATCCTTCCCGGACAGCAGCCATGGACAAGGGATTGGAGTGGACCAGTCCAGCTTCTTCAAGAAAACACTGTAGCTGTCCGCGTACTCAGACACCCAGCGGCCCCTGCAGAAAACACGGAGAGCGGGAGAAGGAGAGGAGCTCCATCCTCTGCTTTGCACACCAGGACGAGGAACCTGCCTCCCCTTCAGCAGCGTTTGACCTCCCAGCCGGGAGATTGTGTGGAACAAACGAAACCACATCCAGCTGGTGTGGGGGAGAGGGGGACAGCCTGTCCCCATCGGGAACGGCGCAGATGCTGCGACACACGCGGCCGTCACGGGGACCAATCTCCCACCTGGGTCAACCATTACAGAGGTTCAATCTCCAGCCCACATATGAACTCCAGGATCACAGATCAAAATCTTCAATGCAGAGCTGAGATGTATGTGTGCTGGGGGAAGGTGGGGGCCGTGAGGCAGCAGGGAGGAATTGCCTTTCAGTGAGAAATGAGGACTCAGGAGCCGTTTGTGCCTGTTTGGTTCATAGTGTGCAGATGAGTCACGTTCCAAACAGCTCCTGCCCTGTTTGATTTGAGAGAGCCCTTTCCCAGGGGAAGCCTGGGCATGGAAATGATGAGACATGCCTCCTGCCCCAGCTCCACAGAGATCTCAGCACCTTCTTTCCACAGGGATGAGGCTGTCCCAGCAGTTGTCTCCCCACTCTTATCAACCCCACTGCAAGCCTTTTCAGGAAAAGGCTAAGCAGGTTTTGAGAACGGATTTGTCCCTGAGAGAATTCCTTTGGCCTGATTTCACGACATGAACAGGGAGAAATACACTTGAGAAACACCGTCCAATTCCAACCAGTTCCAAAACCTCCCCGTCCTACTCTTACCCTGTCTCCAGCTCCCACCATCCACCCTCTCCTCCCCAGCCCACTTCTCCCTTACTGGTTGAAGCGTCCATCTGCAGGGAAAATGGGAGAAGGCCTCGTCTGCTCTGTGTACAATCCACCATGGACTCCTGTCCGGCGTGGGAAATCCAGCTGGTAGGTACTTCTCCAGTCAGGTATAGAGCAGTCTAGTGAAAGAGAGTCCAAAGAATTTAAAGACTTTTTTTGGGTCTTTGTCTCCTGTATTGCACAGTCTGAGTGTTCCCCTTTCTGAGCTCCATCGGCTGTTTGTGCTTCCAGTGCTCCTGCTGGAGCTACCACAATGAAGGGATTAGCCAAGGGAAAAATGTAACATTGCTTCCCTGGCACAGATAAGGTCTTTTAGATGAGATTATCCAGCCCTTATTTTCCATAGCCTTTGATGTGAGAGAGAAGCCACACAAGGCAGACCTGGAAACGATATCTTGTGGTCTTCCCATCTGGACATCGACTTGTCACCTGGTATATATTTTCCCCACTTGCCTAGATTTTCTTTTCCAGCATGCCATTAAGCAGGAACTGAACAAGGGAAGTGATCCATGGATCACTTTAACCCTAAGTGAGGACCATCACATCTGTTGTGCTATCTTCCCCAAAAATCCCTGTGGGAGTGGTTTGATGGGGTGCCATCTCCCATCCAACCCTTCTAGAGATGTCTCATCTGTATGTTAACAGCTTGATGTGTGTCCTCATTGAGCAGATCTGCCTGTGGATAAACATCTCACAAGGTCTCACTCACAACAAAGCAGGGAGGGCACACAAAGCAGAGTCGCCCATTGCAGACATTTCAGATTTTCTGTGTATTTTAAAAATGACACATTTCTATAATGAGTCATTCATTAGTAGAGTAATTTTGCTGTTTTCACTGAGGCTGAGGTTACAGGTATCTCACACGTGCACGACCATGTCAGGCTGTTAAAGCAACCTGGGTGGTTGCAGCAGCAGTTCCTGTGTTGTGACATCATTTCCAGGGAGACCACATCGAGCAGGGCTGTGCTCCATGGGGTGGCCCATATGGAACTTAGGATGAAAGCAAAATCATTCACAACACTCCAGCCTCTTCTAAAAGATAACTGTTTTTCCCTGCCTTGCTTCTGCCCACTGATGGGCAGGTGGTTACGGGGCTCTGTGGACCCTTCCTGTGCCAATCACCTTCCCTTCACCTTCTTCAGTCTCCTTTCACGTTAAATTAAAAAAAAACAAAGCCAGGTTGAAGGCCACCAGTCATTCACATGGGGCAGCTGCCATCCACTGACCTTCCATCAAAACAGATGAGCCCAGGATCTTGTTTTTGTATTGCTCAGCGTTGTCCAGCCTTTCCCGGTACAAACCCTGGGTGAATTGCACGTAGCTGACCAAGCCTGGGGACACTTTCTCCCTGTGCAGCATCGTCCCTGGGACATTGGAGGAGGAAAAGGTGCATTAGTCAGGAATCACCATCAATTACTCACCCAAATCCTATCCAGGGGTGGGAGCAAGTAAACAGCCAGGGCAAGTTGGAGTCTCAGCTGGCATAAATCAGGGGAGACCCAGTCAGCTCAGCAGAGCTTTGCTGAGGTGCATCAATTTAGCATTGATCTGGCTAGTGGCACAAGTAGGGGAAGGATTTATGTTGATGCAAAGCAAGTGGAAGGAGCCATGCTGTCTCCACATTGCCCTGGACTGCAGGAGGTCTGTGTGTGAAAGGGAAAGGCTTTGTGGGAAATCATGCACTGCTGGGATACACAGGGGCAGAGCAGGAAGGGAAAAGCCCTCAGGAGTTTTGTTGTTAGCACAAGACAGCTTCAGATGGGCTTGGCAAGGAGATGCTCAAAGCCCTCAGATGTTAAGTGGAGCCTAAATGGATTGACCAAATGGACAACTGACTGTCCATGTGGAGACTTATCCATATGAGCTGCTTGTCCAGAATCTCCTTCTAGTGAGTGGAGAGACAGAAAGCCTGTTGGGGCTTACTTCAACTCATCTCCAGGGTGGCATTTAAGTTACAGGAGGTGTCTGTGTCTTTGCTCCCCACTGATCGTGAAAGGATCCAGACACAGACATCCCACTCTGGGAGAGATCAGCTCAGGGAACAGAGAGGACATCCTTGGCCACGTCTCCTGTTTGCTTCTGGAGCACTGTTGAGCAGTTCTGCCCTCTTCCCTCTCAAGTAGGAGCTCAGAGGATGATCTCCACTGCTTCAGCACGGTTGAGCATGGTTGAGTGATGTTTGGTGACCTCTCATTGTGTTTTCCTGTCTTCCCATCAGCGTTTTAGTCCTTGCAAGCAAGTTGTTAAATGGTGTGGCTGAGGGCTGGCTACCAGCCCCTTTGCTGCATTTGCTGTCAGACAGGCACCCCTAACAGAAGGTGTCTGAGTCACCCAAATCCCCCATGTTCAGCCACAGAGTCCTTTTGCCTCCCTGCACTTCTGTTCATGACCTGCAAGGTGGGGTTAACTGCATCTGCCTCTATCCCAACAGAGCTGTGAAGATAAAACCCTTAAGAGATTCTGCCTTGCTAGCAGGGACTCTTCATGCACTGAGATGTTTCCAAGACCCCATCTCACTGCATCTGTGCTTTGAGCTGGCCTGGGATCTGCATCTGTGGTAACAGGGTGCTGTGCCCATGCTGCTAATCCTCACCAGGCTCAGCCCAGCACCGACACACCCTCGGGACGCTGCCATCCATGTGCCTGCAGCCAGCATGGACCACGGGCTGGGGGGACTGGCAGAGGCCCAGGTAGACAGACCCTCGGGTGGCTGGATGGGGTCAGTCAGCTGCTTGAGAGTGGCTGGCGCCAGCACTGGGGGTTACCTTCTGTTTCGGCTGTCTGAGCAGGAGGTGGGAGATCCTGGCAACAAAGCAGCCCTTCCTGTGGCTCAGCGAGGATCTCCAGTTTCCCTGACCGGCCCGGTGTCGGCTGGATGGGAGGCTGGGACTTGGGTAGGTAGCACCTTGGTACGTAGCCGTCTGAACTAGGATGGTATGAAGTTATCTGCAGGAAGAAAAGCCCCCTGTGAATGGAGAGGCAGCGAGCGGGAAGGGCAGCTGCTCAGGCATCACCGAACACCACTTGCTACCTGTGCACAGCAAAGCCTGGGCTTTGGTGGGGTCAGTATCCCTGAGAATGCAGCCACAGGGCACAACTGTTATTGAAAGTGAAGGGACAGCTTCCTCTGTCTGCCTGTCTTACAGCCTGGGACTCTGCTGGGCTGTAGGAGGGATGGAGGGAGCCACGGCACAAGCAGTGGTTTGACGGTGGGAGAGGGTTCATGCCAGGGAAAGGCTAAAGGGGCTGCTGGTGTGGCTGATCTGGAGGGGCTGCTGCCTCCAGCCTCTCCAGCTGCAACTGGATCTTCAGATGCTGCTTTCTAGGGGCTCAGAAAGGGACTCTCCTGCTATGAGCTCTGCCAGGCTGCTGGGGCCAGCAAGAACCACCTTCACAGGTGGGCCTCCATGGGTTTCATTTAGTTGTTTTGAGTCTCCAAGGTCCTCAGGGCTCCCCCAAAGGTGATTTCTCCTTTGCCATACTGACAGTAGGGCAGGTGGAAGCTGCAGAGCTACAGGAATGACCTGTATCTGGGGGCTTCCCCTACTGAGGATGGCCAGAGCTCCTCATGGGGCATCTACAAAGGGTCAGGAGCCTCTGGGAGCCCACGGTGGGCATGGTTCACCAGTGAGTGCTTTCTTCCTTAACCCAAGGAGTTCCCCACCTTTCCCCTGGGAGCAGGTCACTGCCCAAAATTTCACATCACACTTGTTTTATCCACTAAAAAACAGAACGAATCCTATCAGGGCCAAGAGGGAAACCTGGGCCTCCCAAGTACCTCATCATCATGCTCCCCAGTGGGAGAGCTTTCCTCAGCAGGGCTTGGGAATTAATAAAGAGCCAAAGGGAGCTGCAACCCAAGAGAATCAGACATAGCTCCCTCCCTTCTTATCTCCCAAACTACATCACAACCTCCACAGCAAGCGTGCAGCTTTCTGAAAATAAAATTTTTCAAAATTTTTAAATTAAATTAAATAAATAAAGGAAAATGAAAAAAAAAAAAAAGAAAAGAAAAGAAAGAAACTGAGATGCACGGCTTGGAAACTGTGCTCCAGCAGGCAGGGGTTAAACCCTGCCCTCCCAGCCAGGATCTGGGCTCCTGGAAGTGGAGCAGCCACCTAAGGCTGGGGCTGCCCGGGAAGCCCTCGCCAGCCCGGAGAACAGCGGGAGCCCCGAGCAGGACCGCTAATGAAGGCTGCTGGCAGCGGGAGCGCTCCCCGGGGCAGGAGGAGGGGAGAGGGGAGGAGAGGGGAAGAGAGGAGAGGGCTCCCCAGGCTGCTGCCCAGGCGAGGATGGCAGTGGTGGCCGCAGACAGCCCCTCTGCCCCGGCGGGCACCTTCACACAATGATTTCTCTGTTGCTGTCCCCCCCTTTTCTTCCCCAGCCTCAACTTTTTTCTTTTTTTTTTTCTTTTTTTTTTTTATCTCTCTCGTGAGCGTATGAGCCCAAAGCACTTCAGCAACCGAACATGCCCCCCACCACTTCTCCGCAGTGGCCCAGTGCAAACCGCAGCTGTCCCCACCGGGCTGCCACAAGCAATTAAGCCAGGGCAGGCGGAGCGAGGCAAATCAGATTAAATAGCTCAGGGGGTCGCTCGCACTGCGAGGAGATTAGAGAAAAAACAACTTCAGCTTCCCCGCAGAAGTCTTCTCAGGCCCGTGTCAGGGCAAGGAGCCATCTCCATCCCAAACGCAATCCCCCTCCTCAAGGCGGTACCGGGATGGGTCTAATCCTGACGAGCTCCATCAGCCCCACGGGGAGCAATAGGAGTCCAAGGCTTAGACACCGGTTCAGCAGGCAGTCGTTAGTGCCCTGCCTTAATGAGCGTAATTAGCATCACTCCCCACGAACAGCTTTACCGGAGGGTGCAAGGGGGATTTCCCGCAGAAGGGATGGGGGCACAAGCCAAGGGCATTTGGGCGTGATGGGACCTGCTGGTGGGTCACAGTGGTGGGGACTAAAGCAGACCCTGCCAGTGCAGCAGCACCCGTGCCTGCTGCCCCCCTGGCACCATCCCAGTCCCCAGCTGTCCTGTAGCCACAAGAGGGGAGCTGACAGCAATGGGCTAAGGAGACAAGCAAGGAAAAGACCACGGTACCTGTACGTCCTCCTGGTTGGGTGGCTCGTAGGTGTTGTGCCAGCAAAAGTCTTTCTGGTACATGCTCTTGTACCTGTCCAGTGCTGCAGGCAGCTAAAAATGAGAGAAGGCAAACACAAGGAAACACTAAGTCTCAGAGGAAGCCTTCAAAAGCAGTGGTACAAACCCAAAATGCTCTCTCATAGCTCAGGAGAGCATGAGCTGCTCTTCTGGGCACAGTCTCTGTCCCGTGGGCCACCTGAGGCAACAGAGGCTACTCCTTGCTCAGTTAAGCCCCAAGCAGGGTGGCCAAGAAGGTCCTATGCTCTTTTTGCAACAGTTTCTGGGGCTCTTCTTGTCCCAGGCTGTCCCATGCAACAAACACCTTCCTTCTACTTCTCTCAAGCTTCCTCTGACTGCCTGGATGGTCCCAGGCAGAGCATTAATATAGAGCTGCTGAAATACTTTGATCAGCTGCTGAGGTCCAGTGTCTTTCAAGTTAAATCAGCACATGCTTCCATCTTCTATCTCGGTAAGATTTCCTACGTGCTTATCCCATATTTAAAGTGCTGGCTAATGTCAGTACTCATTCTGCAAAGTGAGTGGAGAAGCTATGGAGGAAAACTCTGCCAGGGTATATGAGGCCAGTGACACCTGCCCTAGCCCTGAAAATCCTCACAGTGCAAACTTCTGGAGACTGGGAGAGGATTTTAGGGAGAAAGCATTAGCTGTGTCTTCTCCCTCAGCATGCACCATGAGCACTGCTGGAGCCAGGAAAGCTCCAGCTTTCCTTGGTGAGATGAACCTTCAGGCTGGTCCAAGAGCTGTTTTCATACTTAAGCATTAGATGTGATAACTTGTCAGTGCATGGCAAGAGCTGGGGGAGATGAGCTCTAACTGGAGGTGTTACTGTGATCTCTGCTGCCACACAGACACATCCACCACACAGACGTGGCTTGGCCAGCCAAGGCAGGGTCTGCATTCCCATGTCCCTGTGATTAAAAGGAATTCCTACTAATAATAACCCCCTACGAATAACTCCACTGGCACACAGCACCTTCAGGAGGGCTCTTTATGCCTTGCCTTGTCAGTCACCCACTTTTATATTCTATATTCTATTATTCTATATTTTACATTCTCTTCCTAACATTTCACTCTTTTCCCCCTTTGGGCTTCCCAGACCAGTGTCTGCCTTTGGCCAGGACCCAGGATTCCATTGTCACCAGTTCCTGTTATCTTCCCAGATCAGCAGACCCAGCAAACCCATTACTCAAACACCACTGAGGATGAGAGTCCTGTGCATCCTTCACCTTCCATCGCCTTGCATTCTTCGCTAGGTCCATGGTGAACCAGGAACCTGCACCAGAAAAGTCACTCAGTTAAAAACCAGCAAGACAGATCCACTCCTCCATCCCAGCTCAAGGGATAAGGGACTTAGAGGTCTGAAGCAGGTTACTGGCAGGAGGAAGCGGGTTCAGCTGGGGCTGTAAGACCTCTGTGCACCTCAAATTGGTAAGAGTATGACTGACTTCATTCAAGCTCAGCAAAGCAAAATTTACCCAACCAGGACTTACAGAGATGGACACCTCAGGGGACGCAGCCTGTTGGAAGCCAGAAGGGATGAGATGGAGGCATCCCACCACCAGCAGCCCCAGAGCCACCCAGAGGGTGAACAGGTGTGACCTCCTGGGACAGGGTATGTCTGGGATGGGATCCACCAATGGCCTGTGTGGCCACGGTGTTTCCAGGGTTGAGGGAAAACTCTGTCCCATTGTGACACAACTGTAGCTCAGAACCCTGGAGGCCTTGGAGGGGGGGCGGGGAAGCCTGAAGGGGTTGGGGATTGTTTCTGGGAGAAGGCACCCAACAGTCCTACTGGGGAGCTGTTCCCCACTGCTTCAGCTGTGTCCAGCCATGCTGGGGACACGTGGCCAGGAGAAGGACAAAGCCTTCCCTTTGTTAGCTCTTGAAGCACCCACAGCTCCTGCTAAAGATGGGAGCAAAAGATGGGGAAATGGAGAAGGAAAGAACATAGTTTTCTTGCTCTCAACACACCCAGAAACTGAGTCCTTACCTTCTGCATGGCAGGATGGGAACACTGGAGAAGTAAGGCAGGCAGGGGTCTCCACTTGGACTCAGAGGGTGGCCAAGTACACCAGAACTGTCCCATTCAGGTGCTGCCATTCTCTTCCTCTGGTGAGCTGCAACAGGAGACAACTGGGGATGCTTTGACTGAGTCCTCTGTCCCATAAATAGACAGGAACACCAGACCAGATCCACAAAGCAGTATTTACTCTTTCAAAAATGACAGGCCTTGACCAGGTTTGGACGCATTTCGTCACAGGACTAATCTTGCCTAATTTTATATGTCCACAAGGACAACATCTCCACCTGAGCCGATCCCTCCTGACTTCCTGGCTCATTTAGCCCAGTTCATGTGACCATTGCAGGTACAGAGTTGGGTCTGAAATAAACTGCTTTCTCAGAAAGCCTGTGTTTGGTGAGCTGAATCTCCCCCAGGACTCCAATTTCTGTAGCTACACACGAGCCTGGCTATCGGTTCAGAAATGACGTTGTCTGCCACTACAGCGCTGCAAATAGTAGTAAATGCTAGTGATGAGCCAGAAAGACGAGATCTCAGCTGCAGGATCCTCCACAGAGGAGAGCCAGTCACGGACCTGTGTTCACAGGCACCGCTGGAATGAGCTGAATTCCAAGAGCTATTTCTCTTTGCAAACTGTCAGGCACCAGCGTGCAACTGGAGCCCAGGGATGTTAACACTCTGGAAAGGGTTGTGTGCTGCAAACAGCTCAGCACTGGTGTTAGAAATGAAGAGAAGCCCTTCGTCCCCACTGCATTTTAGGCAAATTAATATTACAATAAATGATACAACAAGGAAAGAAGTTATTTCCAGAAATGTGAAACTCTCATGTTCTCCTGTGCTTATATTAAAGGGATTACACTCCATTTCCTTCTTAATACAGCTAATGCTCTATGGGAAGCCCTCAGGCCAGGGATTAAAGCACTTATTCAATTAATTAGGAACAAACTTCTGCCTTAAAGTCAAACACACAAATATCAGTAAGCCCTCAGAGTGTCTTCCTTCCAGGGCAGAGAAAACGGATCCTATTTCTGGTGTAAATGACACCAAGTCTGCACTCTATAATTAACAGGAATAATATAACTTAAGAAGAATCACGCTTAAAATATGATAATTCTGTAATGCAACATGGTAAAGGAGAGACAGTCCCATCATCCTGAACTCAGCACTGGAACTCCCATCAGTTACAGTGGGAGCAGAGTAAGGTCCTACAAGGCTAATATAAATGAGATAAAATTTTAGGATGTAACATTGGTAACTAGCTCCACGCTTCAGGCACAGCAGTGTTTGGATGTTTTTGAAGTTAGGGGTGAAATCCTGGCCCTGTTAAACACAAAAAGAAAATGCTTATTCAGCAGGATCCGAATTTCACCTAAGGTGTCTGATTCATTACTGAGATTGAAGACAATTTCCAAAACCTGGCTCCAAATCCTAATCTTCCTTGATGATAGCTGGATCCTTCCGTCTTCTCGCAGGCACAGCTCTCATGAAATTAAAAGGCATTTTGCCAGAACAGTTTATGCAGGAACAGCCCACTATTACTGTTCAGTTTCCCATTTCTTCTTCCCAAATATCAAAAGATGGGGCTGATAATTGCCAACATAATTCCAATTAGAAGTGGATAGGAACCAAATTCCCAGCTCTCACCTTCCTCTGCCTCCAAGAGAGCTTATCAGCCTCCTCATTGCTAATGCACATATGGAGGAAAAGTTAACCAGCCACATGCCTTTTTTAAAAATGTTTATATATATATATGGACCTTTTAAAATTTCCCTTACAGTAGCTGGTGGGCTGCAGTGCCATTATCTCTCCTGTGACATCAATTCCCTGCAATGGTCCTGGTTTTCTCTTGAATCCCCTTAATACACAGAAACACAGCTGCAGGATGCTCCTGCATGTCAGATCCCTCCCCTGGCATCCCCACAGCACTCAGCATGGGCTGTTCATGGCAGACATCCAGCTGGAGTGATTGGAAATACTGTGTTGGCTTCACATAAGCTGGAACTGCCCCTTCCCTGCACCATTAACCTCTGAATGACCACTCAAACTCTGCTGGGCTACGCAAAGCAGCACCAGGCACTTCAGTGTCACCTTGAATCTCAGCCATGGGGTTGCTTTGTCAGAATTTTTTTGACCAGGCAGATTTTTTCCTGTGTCTTTTCCTCCCCACCTTCCCCCACTGTATGTTTTGTTAAGGCTTCCCTCCCCCAGGAGCATTTCACTGAGGAGAGCTCACTCTACCCTGCGTGGCTGCTCCTCATGTAGCTGTCTGCACATCCCTGAAACAGAAGACACAATGCTGAAGACCAACACAGGGTTATAAACACCTGCAGGAGAAAATTGCTCTTAAATAATTGATTTATTTTCACAATACTACAGGAAGGCAATGGCTGAGATTCCCGGGGTCAAAGCCTAAACTACTCACCTGAATGGAAGTGACCCTGTTTCTCGAAGGCAATAATAACCCCAAGCATCCAGGGAGGTTTTCAGAGGGTCCTGGTGCTTTTGACCCATCCACATCATGCATAGAAGCAGATTACAATGAAACAGACAGGATTAGATTGTCAAAGGCAGAAATTGATATGTTTTAGTAGCACTTTGGGATAATTTGACAATGGACCCTAAGATCTAAAAGCTGAGCTCAGGTCCTTTACAATCAGATTGGGGGAGTTTAAGTTATAGTCAAGGACCTTAATTATAATGTAAAATGATGAGATTTCTGTACCTGACCTCTGCAGCTCCTTCCTGACATCCTGCTGGTGCTTAGAAGTACCTATGTACCTCTGGAAATTCCATCTCATAGCCTCAGTTAAGACTGCAGCAGCACATAGGACATGACACAGAGACAAAATTCACCTCAACTTGTTCCTAACTTACCATATTTGCTGTCTTTTCCCACCTGTGGAATGTGAAGGTGCTGTCTAAGCCTGTACAGCTCTTGAGCAAGGTGCTGCACTGGGTACTGGCAGGGTTCAGGGGAACCACCTCATCTATTAACAACTCAATGCACAAAAACATGGCCAAGGAGGACATACCTCCCTGTCAACCCAGCCCTTGAAAAGTGCTCTTTGGGCTAGGAGCAAGATTCATTGCCCCCATGAGGATGTTGAAAGAGGGAAGTGATGGGTAAGCAGGACCCCCAGCGCGTGGAGGAGGCAGGGTGTAATCTGTGCATCTCCATTCAGGTTATCACCACGAGGAGACAAAGCACAGAGGGGAGACAATTCTTCAAGGGACCGGTGTTGACAGTCCGTTCTGTCAGCATGAGGTCAGTCACCCATTTGGGTCTAAAAACATGAACTTTGGTGGCAGTGCAGCCGTCCAGCATGGGCACATTTCCTATGGAGTTATTTCATCCTTCTTTCCTGTTTTCTTGATAAATTGGTGGGGGCACTTAGGGCACCTTGTGAGCAGAAACAAGCAGCATCCTTCACCCTAAATCTGAGGCCCCTGTAGCTCTCCTCCAGCCACCTAAATCACCTACAGGACTGAGCCCTCAAAGTCAAACTCCTTGTTGAACAAACACTCCTCTGTGCAGAAGACAAGGGCACCTGGTGAACTCAGTGGTGGTGCCCCAAATCTTTTGACAGTTCTGCTGTAACCTGCCAAAACAATCAGCTGTTTGTTCGTGATTATCCCCCAAAAAGCATCCATCAGCAGAGGATGGCTGAAATCTCATCACTGTCTGTACAATGTGTCCTGTGATATAAATCATTGCATATTTATGCACCTGTGTAAGGCAAATGCATATCTGTATTGTTGGAGAACCTAAATCTGCTCCCCAGTGCCCGTTGTTTAAACAGCCCTTTAACCACATCACTTTTCTCCTCGTTAGGTTAAGTCCCTAGAGGTGAAAAAGTCCTTCCCAAAATGGTTTTCACTCACTCACTCAGTCCAAAGTAAACATGCCTCTGGGACCATTATGTGTATCAGGTATCCAAGGCTTTGTTAAAAGCTTGCCTGTTAGGTAAATTCTGCTTCTCCTTCTCCTTGGAAGGAGAAGGTTAAAAATCAGAGATAGGCTCACACAGGTAATGCAGAACAGCTTTACAGACAAATAGGAACAACAGATGAAATTCAGAGCAGCGCACACAAGTGACCCAAGATCTCGGGAAGGCTCTTGATCTGGTGTAACTCTGGTTGCAATATGACACTGGTTTGACTTATGCCTGTCACTTGTAACCTCGTTCATCACACACCTCATGGTGGCCACGAGCCAGACATTTTCACCAGCAGTCAGCA